TCAACGCCTGAAGGGGCGCCGTTATACTTTATAGGATGCTACTGGTGGGTGATTTACCTGAGTGATCCACTGAAACATTGAGGTTTGTCACCTTAACGGTGTGGAGTGTTGGAGTACATACATTTATTTGTGATAGCAGACTTGGAGTCTGGAGCCCACATATTGATGGGTTGCTGGTCATGACTTATAAGCCCACAGTGAACAACTTCTGGGATGTGTGCAAAACATGGGCCAGGGGTGGTCATGGAGTGCAGTGTATGACTCATGTAAACAATGTAAAACATGTGCCAACGTGGTCATGGAATGCAGTGTACGAGTCATGTAAACCAAGCAAAACATGGGCCAGGGTGGTCATGGAGTGCAGTGTACGACTCATGGAATGAGTGCAAAACATGGGCCAGGGTGGTCATGGAATGCAGTGTACGACTCATGGAATGAGTGCAAAACATGGGCCAGGGTGGTCATGGAATGCATTGTTGCATCATGGAATACCATGCGCAATATGACCTGGTCATGTTCCGCATATTTATGACCAGGAACATGACCACCTTTATGACCGTATGGGGTCATAAAGTGCAGCCATGACCGTATACGGTCATATTGCGGTCCCATGACTTGTCATAAATCCCATCATAAATCCCATCATGACCACGCATTTCATGACCCCAACCAGTCATATCCTGCACTTGCTTATGCAAACTATGAACTGATCCATGACCGGATCCATGACTTAATGACAAATTATGACCGGATCCATGACCACATACATGACCAAATCCATGACTGGAAAACCCATCCATGACCAAGTCTTTCCCCGAGTGTTCGGGCGCCTGCTCACGCGCCCTTGGCGTCCCCCTCAAAGCCTAGCTCGACACACTTCCCCAAAGCCCTCAGCACTTTCCGGTGCTGTCTGTAATGTTTATCCTTGAAGCGCCAGCGGCTTCAGCAGTCCGCCCCACAGCCGCGACACTGCAAGTCTTCGGAGGCCCCGAGCATTGGCCAAATAAATGTACAAACGAGCAGCTTGCGTACTTCATAGAGGAATGAAAGCAGATTTGTCGGCCTGCTGGTGGCAAGTCGGAATGCCCGTGCGGGCAAATGGTAATGCAAGCTGGGTGTTTGAGTTCTCATACGCCGTCATCTCAGAGTTCAATTATGAGATACACGGCACCTTTTGAAATTAAATTTAGCCCGAGAGGCGTTGATGTGACTTTGACATCCGAGGTCGGTCCATGGAGGCAGCCAAACTTGTTTGTGCTCATACGATTTTTATTGGCTACAGGCGAGATACCTTGCAGTAGAGAATGCAATATCTTACCAATAACGCATTTCAGCCGGGCGAGATATTATGTTTCGTCCGTTACACACACACGGCCACATGGCCACACGGACATGGGCAATCCTACAGGGCGGGGCCCCCCTGGGCGCTTCACGCTGGGGCCCCGCCCAAATATGGAAATGATGTTGGCTAGGCAGGCAATGCCGGTGCGTGAATAGATTAGGTAGCAATGGTGCCTTGAGGGAAAGAAATGGGAAAGCGTGGATTATTTGTGTGCTGGTGGGGAAAGGGAAAGTGGCCACGGCGGGTACGCCCTTTGTAGTAGCTGGCCGCTGAGAAGGCCTCCCGCGATACTCGTTAAGCATGTCGCGTATTTGTAGCTGTTACGCGTGCATACGTACTGTGTATCAGCTATTACATTCCTCCCCCTTCGAAGGGATCCGTCTAGGGCTTAGCGGTCGCCTACACCAGCCTGTGCCTTAAACGTTTATAGAAGTCGAGATTGAACCAACGACTTCCAAATTGAGAACATGTTTGCAACCTCAATACCAGCTGACCGCTGATAAGGCCTGTCAAGATGCTCGTTAAGTGTATCGCGCATATACATATATATTATTTTATGTACACCGTACTGTGTGTCAGCTACTCATCCTTGCATCTGTCATTACCGACCTTGCTGCTGCATGCTGTTGGATTTAATCATATCTTCCTGCAGCCTACGACCACCTCCACCCAACCTATCTGCGCCTGCTGCGTGCCTCCTATCTTTTCCACGCATCCGTGCAGGCTACGACTCCGGCTACTATCTGGGGTGCTATAAGGACCGGGGTGAGCCTAATCGCGCCCTCCCCGTGCTTCTTTCTGGCGAAAGGGCGGATATGACACCAAGGCTCTGCGCGGCATATGCTCGGGAGGCTGGTACGTATGTCAATAGTTAGACAAACAGAGGAACAATCTGGTTTTTTTCGTTTAGGACGGGTCTCAATTTATTCCAACTTTAGTAACAAAGTTGCTAGGGTTGTCTTAATTTATTCCTTAATTGTGAGGCGCTGGGGGGGGGGTTCCGCCCCCCTCAGACCCCCCCGATATGTGTTACAACTCCCCTAGGCCTCGGAGACCCCAAGAGAGTCATGCACTGAGTTGGCGCGTTTTTCCGTTCGTGTGTCCACTCTTCGTGCACATGCGTAGATAGTTCTGGCACTGTTTGTGAACAAAAAGTAAATCCGACCAAGCAAAGGCCCAAAGCAAGCAACCGCATAGCAAATCAAAGGCCGTCACCTGCCACTGCAAACCACAGCACACTGGGACTCTACCGGTTCCTCATGTACCGGCCACTGCTGCTGCTGTCCAGCCACTCCTCCAGTGCGTCAAGGAACGGGAACGTGCCCAGGTCGAACAGGTCCTGCCTTATCTTGCTATTTTGTCGTCTGTTCGACGTTCGAGTTATTCACTTGTGCATTTTTGGCTATGTGAAGACCGGTCATACATGCTGCTATGCCGCGTTGACTAACGGGCGTGACCTCCTTACGGCCCCTCATATCTATTCTATAATTGCAAATACTAAGTTCTGCAAACTACGGAGCAATCTGGCAGCAATGGACGTTTTTGGCTGGAGAAATGAATATGTACAGGTCGGCCTCTTTTTTCCAAATGCCAAACAAGTGTGTTTCTGGTCGCTCGGTAGGCAGGCCTGTACAGGCACATGTGCCGCAGCAAGCATGTGTGCTTGCAGATGGCCACAGACACAGGGACAGTAAATTTCCAGGACACGGCGCATAATTGCTGCCTGCGCAGATGCATAACGATCGGTATTACTTTGGCTGCGGCCGGGGGCTAACAAGCCTGTATGTACACGTGCAAGAGGGGTACAGGCTATGTATCATCGTCTGAATAATTGAGATTATGTCCCACAGCCTTTGCGGCTTGTTTGTCCTACATTTGCGTTTAGGGTGCCGGAAAGAAACAGAGTGAGGCAGAAACGGGGCTCGGGGCCAAGGGGTCTTAGACTACTGCAAACTGCTGCTCACTCTCAGAGCGACAGCAGGGGCGCGTGAGCACCGAAGCGCGGTCTAGCGCCACACGGCACAATCAAAGCGCACACAGCGCTGTCCAGCGCAGTCGCACTGGCACGGCCGAGAGAACTGACACATAGCACTAGACGACTGAACGCAGCATTGGTGATAACGTCCGCTTGACCTCCGCCCTGAGGGCAAACCTGAGCCATCAGCGACGGACAAACCACACTGCTGAGAATTTAGAGTAACAATAATAGGCTCCATATGTGTAGGTAAATTGGAAAGCAAGGACGGGGAGGACCTCTACATTGTCCATGCAGCATAGTCGTATTGAATACGATATGTTAAACCCCATAATGAATACTTTGGGAAATGCGGTCGTACTCGCCCTACAGGCAATCAGACCCATGGGTCGCAGGTCCGAAAACCCCCAAACGTGGCCGCTACAGGTCGAAACCTACTATATTTGAAAATGTCGTATTTGGAGCGAGATTGTCCATGCATACGCACGCAAGCATGTGTACATGCGTTGTCACCAGTGCTGAATGTATGCCACTCGCAAGTAATATACACGTCATAGTGATTTAAGTAAAGTTACGGATCGACCATTAACATCCGATCGCTAGGGGCTAAGTGTTCTTGCAAGTACACTTAGCCCTAGCCATCGGATGGACTTGCATTTGCAAGCAAGTAGGTTGCAAATTATATTTTTTATTGGCCCTACCTGGCAACACACGCACACAGGAACACCCCAAATTCCGCGGCACCACACTGCGATGTGTGCCTTCGTGATAGATCTGCAGCAGTTTCAGCGGCCTTTCTTGGCCCACAGTCTGTTCAGCTGAGCTAAAGAGCTCAGACGCTTTGTGTTTGTGTGAAGCTATATTGACTTTGTGTAGGATGATTCTGAGCATATCACGAGGTACGAGATAAGTAAATCATCTTCATACGATTAAATTGTAAATTGCACCCATGGATGCAACCGAACGGTGGCCAAGTCATGACATAACAATAGTGTCAAGCAGGAACCCGGGCTCTGATCCAGATTGGAAGATTTCAGCTGAAGCGGTGTTTGTGCGTGAAGTGGCAGGCCCCGATCACGAGGCCGCTGGTTTTCCTGTGGGTGCTGACGTCGACACTATATGGGGATCCTGAGGCTGACCGAAGTCGAGGACGCCCTCTACCGCTAGATCTAGAGGGGGGGAAAATAGCATATTATGGGATCTGCATCCACCGTTCGGTTTTTACGAAAAGCCATGATGTAACACTTCGCATGCACGGCGGTGTTCCATGTACATATGGCGTGCAGGATACAAGTTCTACGGCGTGCAATACGGCTCTTTTTGCTTTGGCGGAAACGACTTGAAGCGGGCCACCGGCTTCGGTGTCAGCACCCAGTGTTCTATGCAATGCGCTGGCGACGCCTCCAAAACATGTGGAGGGTATTGGGCCAATGGCCTGCATACCCTGAGTAAGCCTGGGATATATCTATAGTCAGGAATGCGCATGTACAGAATATCCAATATCCGTATCCAGTCACCATTAAGGAAGTTTAATCGCATATGTACTTGTCCTTTTATGCATAACCGCAATGCATGCCTTGCTTATTATGACTTGGTTTACTCTGTCCGCAATGAAAGAAGACGGATCTATGCAGAGACCGTTTTACACAGCAGCATGTGTGCCGTTCTGCTCCCCTTGTGTTTATGACTGCTGCCTTGCCGTACGACGCGTCTTCCTCAATTTCCTGCGTACGCATGCCTCACTCAGGCTTGGACCTTGGCTGCTTCGCGGATAATGCCACACGACGTCTACCGACACGTCTCGATGGAGCAGATATGCAAGCAGAATTCAAGCTGCCCCAGTTCTGCGAAATGCTTGCACGTCAGGCGGGTGTGTATGCCTAAAATTTACACCATGGCGATGTGCTAGGATACATAGAACACCAAAAGTAACATGCATATCATTTCCAGCTGGCTACCGTATACGTAAAACATACGTAATGACTTGTCGTACAGCACTGCTGCTGTTGCATACACTGGCAGTTACGTATGCTATGCATGGGAACGATTTTGTGCGCGGATACATGCTTGGTTTCTGCACTTCATGGTATTAATGCTTATTCTGTTAACCCTTTATTAATAGAGAAACACAGGATATACAACGAAACTTAGCAGCAAGCGTAAGAGGTAATTACGAGCGTCTTATAAGACGCTCACATGCATGCGAGCGTGCATATGCACCCTTGCATGTGTACAATAATAATGTTGCATATATGCAGGTTTGAAGTTTTACGGCCTTCAATACGGCAGTCAATGTTTTGGCGGCAACGATCTCCAATGGGCTACATCTCTTGGACCTAGCTCTGGTTGCACCTATCCAGCTGTTGCTGACAACAGCCAGCAGTTTGGTGGATGGTGGGCTAACAGGATCTTTGCAGTTGGTACGTATATGGTAGCGTATATGTATTCGTGCTTGCACTACATAATAATTGCGACTTCAGGATGCCTATCGATCGATAGCAAGTAATTTCTCATCATCAGCAGCACCAATAACCCACCTGCCTGTAAAATGCTTGTTAGTCTGCAGACTATCTATTTTCAGGCGGCCTACCTAGGTTGGCCGCTTGCCACGGTGTTTAGACCGTCTACGGTCTAAACACGGTCTAAACACCGTTCTGTACCAATGACTCTATATGTGCTATTTATCTTTGGTCCTATCTATCTTTACGAACGGCACGCAGCGGGCGGCCATGATACAGCACTATAGGACGATTACGCACTACTCGAACGCCAGTAAAATAATGATCATCTATAGCTATATAGGCGACAGAGAGTGTTGCCTATAGATGACCAAAACGTTTACTGACGAACGTGGATGTATTGTATATAGCTAGTGGATGTACGAACCATCTGAGAAGTTGAATGATCATGCATTGTGCAACTTCCTCTGAAGCGGCGGCAGCCTAGACGGATTATCATAATGTGTCAACTACTATTAAGATGATTATGCTTGCTTTGAGCAAGATAGAGCTTTCGGCGCAAGGATAATGACCATTATTAATATCCCACAGGACATAACAGTGAAGCTTATACTCACGGAGCTTACTTCTCTTCTGCCGCCGCCAATCTGTATAATGCATGCATGTACTGCTTCATAATAAACAGCCGACAACGTCGTGGCCACGGATGGCCTCTCCAATCTAGCCTTGCGCAAGCCTGCGTATGCCTCCTCTATCTACAATAACAATGACAACTATTATGCACCCTACCGTGCTGTGGATGGTCTAAGGGCCGACTTCCCTGTATTCCACACCGCCAATGATGATACATCAGCAACATGGCTCTCTGTGGATTTGGGTGTCGTGTCCACAATTGTTCGTGTGGTTATCTACAACCGCTGCGTCTGCTGCAGTGGCCGTCTGCAGTCTGCAGAGTTGCGTGTTGGAAATGTCAGCTTGATGGGGTGGGCAGACACGAGCAGCATTACACGGAATCCGTTGGTTTGGAAGCAGACCAAGAATTTGGGCATTTGTGCGCCTCAAGTCGTCACCTTGGATCCACCCCGGGTGGGGCGCTGGGTCACACTTCAAAACAAGAACCCGAGCCAAACACTACCTGATTATTATCTACAAGTCACTGAGCTGGAGGTCTTAGGGTTCCCATCTGCTGGTAGGTGTGTGTATGCGTGCACATTATCTTTGTATTGTATGTAAGTATGCATGTATGTAAGTATGCATGCATGCATCCATGCATGCATATACACATACATGTATGTGGGTGCGCATCTAATCGGTTCATATGTATGCATCTGTGTGCACTCATCACTCGCTCTAGCTAATTCCGTCGTCCTAATTTATGCTTGCTGCAACGGTACATGCAGTGGACTACTGTGCCCAGCAGCCCTGTGGGAACGCCTTCTGCACAAATTTGGGAAACAATTGGGCGTGTGGGCCCTGTCCGGCTTCAAGCATCCCTACTAGGACTACTGTCTACGGTGTCAAGGGACCTGCTTGCCAGGGTAAGCTACAACATATCATGCATACCACTCTGGGAAAGGTTTTCACCCGTAAATTCATGTTTACCCGTAATCACGTGGTCTTCACATGTAATCACCGGCCAAGAAAATTTGTACACATGCTTATTTTTAAGTTGCCAAAGCATTCCTTTTATAAGGAATAACACAGGTGACATTTTGTTGGTTGCCCGTGCTGGAAGTCATCCACAGGTTACATTACCCGTAATCACAAGGTCTTGACCCGTAATCCCCCAAGCCGTAATGCACAGCACCCGTAAAATTTCACGGGCTTAATTGCGACGAAGACGTGTTATGTGTGTGTGTGTGTTACATGGTTGGGGGTGCGTGACCCCATACCTGTAAGATTACCCATACGAGCCGAGGGCCCAAGGGTAATACTACAACACCTAAAAGCCACGGAGGAAAGGAAAACACCGCACATCAGCCCAGACTAGCGTCTAAAGGGGGTAATTGAGTTTCGGTGAGCCCACATACGTTCCAATTTCCTCGCCAGACGTGCGGGTTCCCATTGCATGGCCTCCAACATGCTCTGTTGATGATCGAATCCTTCTTCAGCACGAATATCATTATAGGCTGGGCATTCCAATAACAGGGGTTCACATCCCTCATTCGGCTATTAG